AATAGCTAGTAGCAAGGTATGGGACGATCAGTCTAGTATAGATCTATACACAAATTCACGCTCTCCCTCCAGGAGACAATGGTTACAAAACCTGACACAACAGTAGATTCCAATGCCATGAAGTGGTGGCTGACATTAATGTTATAGTATTCTAGTGTTTATATAGTATGTTCTAGTGTATTGTATGTTCTCTCTATTCTAGTGTATAGTATGTTCTCTTGTATAGTGTAGTATATGTTCTCTTAGTTTCTCATTATAGTATTTTCTTTCTATTTCTCATAATAGTAAGTTTGTATTTAACTCATGTATGAACTAACTCTTGTATGTTTCACTGTACTAGAAATAGTGAGTAGTGAACCTTTAAACTATACGTATCATAGTTTACTAGTAATGTTGTTTGAATGATTGAGCATGTTTGTACACCTTTGCTACCCAAAGGTGCTAAACTGATGTAAGAACTTCTATATCTATAGATATATACATAATATACAACTAAGATTCAAACGACAATTGAAAAACCAAACGGATACTCTATGTCCACAACCAACCAAGTAACATGAAATAAAGTAAGTTAGCAATCCTAAGTCCTTTCAATCTGACTTATATAACTATATCTATATAGACATGATTTTGAAAATACAAATAAGTTTAAAAGATTTCGATAAAGAGTGTTAACATATAAAAGATTTTTAACCATTTCAATGGCAACGGATGACTTGATGTCAATTTATAAAGTGTTTTGAAGATTTTGATTTGATAGAACAGTTTGAAGTATAAGAAAATCCACTTGGTTTATAGTTATTAATCACATGTGATTGATATAATAACTACAATAGTTCTACTTGTATTCTCACCCCCCACCCCCCTAAAAGCATTAAAAATCATTTAAAAGATAATTTAAGGGGTATGAACTCACATGTATTTATTGACACGAATGAAAGATCGGTTGCAGGATGCTAAGTGCTAGGTGAAATCTCAAGCACAAGCGGATCCTAATAAGCATATAATGATACATATATGTATATAATTAGTTTTTATACAACTAATCATTATAGGGAACCACCTTAGGAACTAGGAAACACTTGAATGGAAGTGTTACAATCACATATGATTGTATATAAGGGGTGTATGGCCACATAATCATGTTTATGGCCACAGGTTTACCATCGTAAACTCATGAACTCTTGTGCCAAAGGGTGTTTTTATGGTCTTTCAAGCAACAAGGAAGTCTTCGAGACCCAATCCTAGCCTTAAGAAGAGTTTATACCCAAACTAGTAGCCTTAACAAGGGTTTATGGCCAAGGGAGATGCTCCTGGCCGTAAACTCTCATGTTTCATGGGAATTGATGGTTTTCAAGGATGTAAATCAAGAGCTTCAAATAGATAGCAAGTATAGGAAGAGGATACATACAGTATGGAAGCTAAAAATGTTGATTTCGACCAAAAGAACTAGTGTGTGTTCTTGGTGTTCTTGAAGATCTAACCCAAAAGATCAATTTCATGGATGAAATCTAAGGGTGATACTAGTTAAGAGAAGTATCAACTAATCAAAGGATAAAACACTTACATTTTGAAGATCAAAATGAATATCCTTATGATACTTGAGAGAGAATTTGGTTTTCTTGAATAGAAATGGAGAATGATGAGGAAAAGTGAAGGAATGGCATCCTTAAGGCCAATAGTTTACGGCCACCTTGAGTTTACAGCCATAAACTCATGTGATGTGTCCGTAAACTCCTCATGAAGGAGTTTATGCCTTGCTTGAAAGTTTTGAACTTCAGTAGATACTTCCTAACACTCATTCCTTGGCTGCACTAGGCTTAGAATGTTCAAACAGACTCTAAACAATGCTAAAAGATAGCAGAAACAAGTCTGACTTTGATTGAGTTGAATTGTTGTACAAGATAGAAATTCCGGGTTGTCACATCAACCCCCTGTTAGAGAGAATTTCGTCCCAAAATTAGAGTTTAAGCAATTAATTAGCTACAATTAACTAAATAATAAGATGAGGATATTTCAGTTTCATTTCATCCTCGCGCTCCCAAGTGAATTCAGGTCCTCGCTTTGCATTCCGGTGAACCTTCATTATCGGGATACGGTTTTGCTTTGTTTGCTTGACCTCTAGGTGCATGATCTCTACTGGTTCTTCCACGAAGTTGATGCTCTCGTTGATCTCGATTTCGTCGAGTGGGATTACAAGAGTCTCGTCGGATAGACCCTTTTTCAAGTTTGAAACGTGGAAAGTATAATGTACGTTATTGAGTTCTAGAGGTAGTTTGAGTTTGTAAGCTACAGGGTTGATTCTAGCGATAATCTTGAAAGGCCCTACGTATGTTGGATTTAGCTATCCACGCTTTCCGAAGCATATTAAGCCATTCCAGGATAAGACCTTCAATAGAACATGTTCACCAACCTGGAATTCAAAAGGTTTCCTTCTATTGACTGCGTAGCTTTTCTGTTGCTCTCTAGAGGCTTTCAATCGTTCACGAATTTGAACGATCTTCTCTGTCATTTCTCGAATGATTTCCGGACCTGTGAGAGTTCTATCAGGAACATGTCCTTTAGCTAACTGAGTGTTCCCCGCCTCAGCCCAACACAAAGGGGATCTGCACTTACGACCATAGAGGGCATTAAATGGAGAAGCCTTTATGCTCGTGTGATAATTGTTATTGTAGGAGAACTCGACAAGGGGTAGATGGATATCCCATGCCTTCCCGAAGTAAATCACACAGGATTACAACATATCTTCCAAAGTTTGAATAATCCTCTCACTTTTCCCGTCAGTTTGTGGATGGTAGGCTGTACTCATGTCCAGCCTAGTTCATAGGGAACTTTGTAGCGAATACTAGAACCTTGAAGTGAATCTACTATCTCTATCAGAGATAATGGATATGGGAACACCATGCAGTCGTACGATCTCCCGAATGTAGGTTCTAGTGAGTTTCTCCATCTTGTTAGTTTCTTTGATAGGCAGGAAGTGTGCGGACTTGGTTAACCTGTCTACGATCACACATATGGTATCAAGACCACCCATTGTCTTCGCCAACTTGGTGATGATGTCAATAATGATCCACTCCCACTTCCATTCTGGTATCTCTGGTTGCTAAAGTAAACCTGATGGTTTCTGGTATTCGACCTTATCCTTAGCCCAAGTATGACATTTACTCACGAAGGTAGCAATCTCTGCTTTCATGTTAGGCCACTAGCATAGCTTTTAAGATTTAGATACATCTTATCTGACCATGGGTGGACGGAATATAGGGTGTTGTGCGCTTCGGTCATGACCAAGTCTTTGAAACCACCATGTCTCGAGGGTCCAGATCCGATCCATGAGGTTTGGCTTTGCAACCCTTGACTTCCAAGTTCTTATCCATCCTTCTCAGGGATTCACCCGCCACATTTTCAGGTTTCAAGGCTTCCAGCTGAGCCTCCTTAATTTGTGTGGACAGATGTGAATGGATAGTCATAGTCAATGATCTGACTCTACGACCAGGGTATTCTTTCCGACTTAGGGCGTCAGCTACTACATTGGGTTTACCGAGATGATAATGAATTTCGCATTCGTAGTCATTGAGTAGCTCGACCCACCATCGTTGTCTCATATTGAGCTCCTTCTGGTCAAATATATGTTGACGGCATTTGTGGTCTGTAAAGATAATGCTTTTTGTACCATACAGGTAGTGTCTCCAAATCTTCAGAGCAAACACAACTACTCCTAATTAAAGCTAATGTGTGGTCTAGTTGAACTCGTACGTTTTAGTTGTCTTGAGGCATAAGAGATGACCTTACCTCGTTGCATAAGAACATAACCGAGCTCTTGGTCGGATGCATCTCAATAAACCACAAAGTATTCTATTCCCTCTGGGAGGGATAGTATCGGTGCGGTGCATAAGGCTCGTTTTAAGCGTTTGGAATGCCTTTTCTTGTTTCTCTTCACAGTCAAAGCCCACGCCTTTTTGGGTCAATGTAGTAAGTGGTTTTGTGATCCTAGAGAAGTTCTGAATGAACCTACGATAGTAGCCAGCGAGTCTTATCAATTGATGAATTGTTGTAGCCGTCTTCAGTGCTGACAAGTTTTCAATGACCTTTATTTTGGAAGGGTCCACATGAATTCCCTCTTCACTAACAACTTGACCCAAGAATTCGACTCTTCGAATCCAAAACTCACACTTTGAGAACTTCATGTAGAGCTTCTCTGATCGTAAAGTTTCC